TTTAAAACTAATCAGCATTTTAATTTTAACTCTAGATAATGTCTAATAGAACACTATTACTTTATATTATTGATTTTAAATTAAAAATCTAAAAATATGTTTTTTAATCATTATTCTCATGACCGCTCTAAACATCAATTAACTTTATAAGTAATATCAATTTTGGTTTTATTATCTTTTTTTTTTTTTACATTAAATCTAAAAGTTAGTATATTATAATGTTCACACATTAATGAGTGAATTCTATTAATATGCAATCGGCATGAGACTAATACTAAACTAAGTAAAAAAAAATACCTCCTAAAAATGAGATGAATAATAATTCATCTAAAATATAGTTATATTAATAAAAAAAAACTTAAACTAATTGAATAAAATATATTTAATAAATAGTAAAGAAAATATAACATTATAATAATGTAAAAATCTAAAACTTAATTGAAATGAAATATTGAATAAAAACATAAGCAATTGAGAGTTTAAGGTGTAATTTCTCGTGTAACGGCCCCGGAAATATTAAAATGAAATGAGTATTTAAATATATCAAATGCGGAAACGAGATCAAAATTTCAGTTAACATCCCTTACACGAAAAACCAAAACGTACTTAAAATATAAAATATTAAACTAACTAAGAGAGAAACTCGAAAATAAAACTATGAGTATGACTACAGAGTCTCTAGGCATCCCCTTCGTCGTCCTCCTGCGGAACGGGCTCGGGAACCATGTCTTCCTGATCTGAAATGGTTAAATAAGGAATGAGCTACACTAGCCCAGTAAGAACATCACGATATCTCACCGTCACGGAGGTAAAGGTGGGTAGAAAAACACAAAAAGACCAATGGAGCATAATTTACAATAAACTCGTTTATTAACATGAAAACCTTTACCATCCACTTACCTCGGTGGAATTTATGAAAACAATATAAGAAAAATAATAACATTATCATAATCATGGAATAATATAAGCTGTAAAACATAACACTTATCACGCCTCTTGTAATTCAATCATTGTACAACATATCTTTTTCTCATTTACCAGCCTACTAGTATCCGTGGGGGTCCATAGGGGTTCCGCTACCCGTTAACCTTTAACATTCATAATCAGTTTCCAGGGCCGTCCCCATACCCCGTCCGGTATGGGCGCCAAAACCATGAACCTCAATACCCCGTCCGATATGAGGGTGAAACGGGCCGTCCCCATACCCCGTCCGGTATGGGCGCCAAAACCATAAACCTCAATACCCCGTCCGGTATGAGGGTGAAACGGGCCGTCCCCATACCCCGTCCGATATGGGTGCCAAAACCATAAGATCTCCATACCCCGTCCGGTATGTGAGACCACAATCCCGGTAGGGTTCCCTACGGACCTGGTCCGTCCACCATCTCCCAGGATATCTAGTTAGGCTGACCCTCATAATACAATTATCAGTCTACACAATCTTTCATTTTCCTTTTCCTCAGTCAGCATCATCAATTCACATACAAACAAGCAAAACAGTAATTCATGCCGAACAGACAACATACAGTATCAGTTTTTCAGTCATTCAACCCATGATTAATAAAAACGCAGTATTTGCACACAAATCTGTAAAATGAACACATCAAACCTCATTTGCATTTAAAGCTGTAAACAGGCTAAATAACAGTAAATCACCAATCACACTAGACTCGGGCTCCATTAGCCACCTTAAGCAATTTCACACATTCGTTAATTCAAGAAATACCGTTTTATCATTTTGAACTTTAATACCGTGATAGGAAATAGGGTGAGGGGTCCTTACTTGTTTTCGGGATCCGAATACGATTCACAGTGCGTCTGCAGGCCGTCCCTAATTTTCCCTGAATTTTTCCCGGGGAACTGAAACACACTAACAGTACCTGCACGTGTTCCAAAAAAAATCCAAATTAGGCCCAGGGCCCCTTTCGGACCAAATCGCAACTCCGGCACGGCGGCTCCGCCGTGCTCCGGCGACGGCGCCGCCGCTGGCGGCGACGAGTCGCCTCGGGTTGGCTGTTTTCGGCCGTTTTCGGCCGAATTCGGCCACACTCGCATTGGTCCTTGTCAGAAAACAACCCTAGGGCCCTCGGGGGGCCAAAAATCACGGAAAAAGCGGAGCTTACCGGCGGCGACGCTCTCGGGTATGGCGGCTCTCCGGCGAGGTTCGTGTTTTGGTGATTCGGCTTCGGTCAACCTGTAGAGAAAAGAATGGCGATCACGGTGATATAAAAATTGCATCGAACGGAGGCCGGGAAGGACCTCGTCGGAGGCAAAAACCGAGAGGGGGGCGGCGGCGCCGCTGGGTTTCGGCCGCGTATTCCGGCCGTTTGGCCGGGATTTCGGCCTCAATTTGGCCATAGGAGGAATCAGCGGAGAAAAACGAGTCGGGGGTATGAAATTTACCTCGATCGGCGGTCGGAAATTTTCCCGGTGCGGCGGCGGGTGGCGGCGGTCGGCCTCTGGTTCGTCTTCTCCGGCGAGCGGCGGGCGGCTAGGGTTTGTGGTCTGGTGTGGGGGTTCTATTTATAACCCCTTGCCTTTTGATCACAGCCGTTCATTTTGTTTTAATCTGGGCCGTTCATTTTTGATTGAATCTGGGCCGTCCGTGCGATTGAATCTGGGCCGTCCGATCGCGCGATTGATCTGGACCGTCGGATCGCACCCACGCGGATCGCCAACGTGGCTCCTTTCGGAGTGACGCGGTCTTGCCACGTGGCAGGCCCCGGTTGGCCGGGACTGCTGACCGGGCCTGCTGACGTGGCTGCTGACGTGCCCCCCCCCCCCCTTTTTTTTTTTTCCTCCTTTCCGGGTGCTACATCTCGCATGGTAAATCTGAATGTCTAATAGAAATACGGAAATTTCTATTTTAGAGAATTCAAATAACAGAAATAAAAATATAACTAAAATCCTATAGAGTCAAACTCCGTTGGATAACTTTGATGGGATGCGGAATGCAACTTTTAGTCACAACCTTCTTACTGTTCAGGATCCGCATCTTAATTTTCCTTATATGAAATGGTTAAATAAGGGAGATGAGCTACACTAACTAAGTAAAAATTTCAATACTTAACACTAATACGAAAAAATTAAAAGTTGGTAAAAATCAGAAAACAACTAATGAAACCATTTTTCTTTTTAGGTAAATTCATTTAATTTTAAAAACGGAGTTCATACTCACCTTTTAGGTTCTTAAATTCAACTTGTGATGATAATATTCACTATAATAATTCATCATATATTTCAAGAAATAATAATCGTCAACTTTATATTTTTACCTGTTTACCAGTACCTCTAGAGGATTTTATCAAAAAATAAATTGGATGAAAAGTTTAATGCATCACCTATGAGGTTTAAATTGGTATTTAGGTAAGTTGGTAATTGATAAGTGGATTTACTCAACTACTTTAGTATTCATATACTTAATATTAACTATTTCTTTTAGTATTTTATATTGGAACTCATTACACTTTAATTATTTTGTAGTTTTAGAAGCAATCAAGAATTTTTAAAGAAGTTCGAAAAACAATTGGAAAAATGAAACAAAATAGGTATGTATTTTATAATAATTATTTAAGTGTACCAATGTTAAAGTAATTAACATATAATTAATATATACATTGTATATTACTCTTTAATTATTACATGTTTTTAATTATTAGAATAAATTATTTTGATTTACATCACGTATATATTTTTTAATAGAAAACTATCTAAAGCAAATTTATTAGATATTTTCATTTATTGTACATTGTAACTTATACTATTTTAACTTGAATAAAATAAAAACTAAATGAATCAATACTAAGAACATAAAATGTACGTAATTATTACATATAACTCATATTCAACAAACATATACATATATATATATTTTTTAATTTTAACAGGAGATTGTTTTATAATTAATTTCTGAAATTAAAAAACAAAAACATGGCAAATATTTAAGATGATTACATTAGTGACACATGTCTGTCTTGTGATAGAAAACTAATTTGTGTGTGTGTGTGTGTGTGTGTATATGTATGAGAATGTCTTAAAGGTTCCATAATAAAATTTCAATATAACTCAACATCATGGGTTCCCGATAGATCTCTCTTCTTCCTCTCTTATAGCGTTGATCATAACTGAAACTTGATCTATACTTGGCCTGGCTTCAGCCGAAGAGTTGACACATTTCATGGCTACCTCCAGCAAGCTCACCATCCTCTCTTCACTTGCACCTTCTGAGATTAACCTTTTATCAAAAACATCCACCCTCCCTTCTTCTTTAACAACAGACTGAACCCATCTGGTCAACTCCCTTCCATCCGTATCCGCCACCTTCCCTGTAAGTAGCTCAAGAACAATCACACCGAAATTATAAATGTCAGCACTAAAAGCACCAGCACCCCCGATTGCTTCTTGTTCGTCGGAGCCACCAATGGTGATGGAAAATGATGAAGATGAGTTGCCTTGATTATCTTCTACAGCCATGATGCCGTACTCACTAATGCAAGGTTCCATGTTTCTGTTGAATAAGATGTTGCAGGATTTCAGGTTTCCATGGCTAATTCCATCACTGCTAAGCTCCTGCTGCATGAAGTTCAGTGCTTCTGCAATGGTGGCTGCGATCCCCAGTCTGCATGACCAGTCAAGTACTTCACCTGTTTGGGACCCTGAAACAAATCCAAGACTATTCTTTCTCATATATATACTGATAAAATATAACTAATTGCTTGTTTCTTTCTTATCAGTTTAAGCTTTTTGAGAATCAATTAATCAATTGTTTAATATGGTATCAAAGTAAGAAGTATACCATGAAGAAGTCGGAAGAGACTTCCATTCTGCTGATACTCATATACCACTAATTTTTCCAGATCGGAACAGTAAAAGGCGAGTGCCGGCGAGACATTCGGGTGTTTAACTTGGTACAGTCTCTGCATTTTGTTCTTGAAATCATTGCTTGAGGTAGACCAATCTTTTATCCTTTTCACAGCCAATATCGCTCCATTATCTAGGATGACCTTGTAGAGGGTACCCCGTTTTCCTCTACCTAACAACTCTGCAGGAGCCTTGAGCAAGTCCTCTAGTTTCAATCCATTCACCACTGGACTAGTCAGAACCACCAGAGATGAAGAAACTAATGCACTTTCACCTGAAACCTGTGATCTGCTCATGCTTATATGATCTGCTTTATAATCAGTTGGTGAAGGACCAGGCTTGTCAGTTTTGTCATCAAAAGTTGGTTCAAGCTTGTTTGATATTTCTTCAATCTTCTCTTGTTTCTTCTTTCTTCTAGCTAGCAAGAAAATAACCATAGACAAAAGAACCAAAGCTGATGCAACATACCCTGAATACATGATCATCTGAGTTTTTGAAACAGGTGGGTTTGGACATCTATTTGGCAAAGGTTCTCCGCATAATTCAGGATTGCCCAAAAAACAAGTTGCAGAAAACAAGCCATGAACATCTGGTATTCTCCCCTTGAAATTGTTGTTTGAGAGATTGAATTGTTTCAGGTTGCTGAAATCAAGATCTGGTATCTTCCCTGTAAGCTTGTTGTTTTCGGCGAGTAACATAGTCAGACCAGAAATCTTAGATAAGTCTTTAGGCAACTCTCCAGAGAGATTGTTGTGTGAAACATCAAGCCTTTTCAGATTGTTCAATAGAGGAATCGAACGTGGAAGGTTTCCAGAAAGTTTGTTCCCGCCTAAAAGCAATCGGGTGAGCTGTTTGCAGTTTGCAATGTCCTCTGAGATCTCCCCAGCAAGACTATTCTTTTCAAGACTAATAATATTGAGAGATGAAGCCAGTGAATCCACGTTGCAAACTAAAGTAGCATCAAAAACACCAGAAAGATTTGAATCATCAAGTGATATACTTTGCACAGAATTATTCGCATGTAAATCACAGGATACACCTTCCCATTCATCCTTGCATGGATCAGTGGATAAATTCCAATTCAGACGATGATCAGGGCATCCATTAAAGTTAGACAGTTTTGCAAGAAAGTTATACAATGATCTTGTGGTGTTACCATCCAATGAATCTGTAGTCTGAATAATAAGAAAGAATGAAATGAAGAAAACCCAGATGGGAATTTGATGCATTCTGATAGTCTGATCTATGATGGAACAAAATTCTGTAAAGAAAATTCAAGTTACAGAGGTATTTCAGTAGTTGGGATCTTAGAAAATGGGGGGAGAATCTCAATGTCGGCCAGGCTAGCAGTTGGCTGATTTTACAATGATATATAATATGTAATGTTATTGATAGATTGCCGCTTTAAAGTTAAAGACGAAGCCATCTAGCATTTCTAAATGAGTTGGGATTTTTCAGTTGAGCATCTTGCTTTTTTAATGATTTAATTTTTCCACTACAAGGAAAATAGCCTCTAATAATAATAATTTTTAGGTCTTTTTTTGTCGGTAAATCCTCCTATTAGACTATGTTTTTCGGACTACATAAATTGAAATATTTTATTAGTATAAAGTTTTATCTATCATTTACATAGTTTAGAACATATCAGTGGAAACTTCCTTTATATTATCAGGACTGTACAAATGAAATTTTATATATATATATATATATATGGTGGTTTCATTAATTAAATTACGATAAAAATAAAGTTAAAAATTTAACGAAAATATATAAATTTTATAAGATTGTTTAGAATATTTTTAAATTAATTTTATACTTCAACATACCAAATATATTTTTTTAATAAAAACTAAAAATGTGTCGTATTTATATAAAAATTTTCAACTCATAATTTAAAATATATTATCTAGGCTTTTTAACTAATAATATTCCGCATATTTTAAAAAATTAAATAAAACATATAATATACATATTTAACATCAAAACATCATAACATCTTCAACAGTTATCCGAAAACCTTGGGTAAATCATCTGAAAAATTACTGAGTCCCTTCGTAGAAGAATTGCAATTTTGATAATTATCAAACACAAGTGTTCAAGAGCCTATAAAAAATAGTTTTTTAGTTAACTAATTAACTCATATGTTATAAAAAAATATATTGGAAAACATAATTATACATTGATTGATTGGTTATATGAAAAACAAATTTAAAAACGTTATGTAACTCTTCAGCTGTAAATCTATTTTTATGTTAAAACAATGTAAAAATCTAGCATAACCAAGTACAATAAATAATTTTTATGTTAAAATAAATTCATAATTCAAATTTAGCATTATAATAAATACTCAATTGCTCATAAATGAAGTAAATCTCATATAAGATATTGTAATCTATATCTACGTAGTTATAACGACATAAAACATTTTTAATTTCTTGTTTTTTATCATTTAACAAAAAAAAAAACAAACAAACAAACTCACTACTTTAAGTCTCACGAAAAAGAAAAATTATGTTATTCTTTTTTCAAATGAAAGATTTCATGTAATGTCCAAATTTAATTTATATGTAAATTAAATTACTTTATAAATGTAATTTTATAATTTTATAATTTTTTAATTTTAATTTAGTATAAAAATGAAGAAAATTTGATGGATGATGAAATTGAAAATAATTTTGGAAGAAAAATATGAAAATTTGGATTCTGGGGGATTTTTGAACGAAAAATTGAAAACTGGAGATCAAAATGCAATTTAAAAAAGTTGTGCTATGTGGAATGCTCAGTCAGCAGCTCCGACGAACCAGGACGCGCAGCGTGGCAACGGACGCTGACGTGGTGCCACGTGGGAGGCCACGCAGGCGATCTGCGTGCCAGTGATCGAACGGTCCAAATTCGCCCCCGCGTGCACGGACGGCACAGATGTGTTCCTTCCCCAAATGCGATCGGACGGTCAGATTTAAATGCGATCAACAGTTTAGATCCGTTCCCTATTTAAACGCGATCGGACGGTGTAGATTAGATCGCGATGAACGGCTCATATTCACTCCTTATTTAATCACGATCAGACGGTACATATCAAATGCGATGGACGGTTCATCGCAAAAGAGGACGAGTATAAATAACCCCCTTCACACTAAACTATAACCCTAATCTCCACACCCCCCTCACCGGAGAAGAAGACCCAGCCACCGAGAAGGAGGCCACCGCCACCCACCGCTACACTGGAGTCCTTTCCGACCGCCAAAAGAGGTAAAATTTTTTTTTTTTGTTCGGAATTCAATTTTAAACACTCTTATGGCCAAATCGAAGCAAAAGAACCGGCGAATTGGCCGAAGACTGCGGGCAAAGCCCGATGTTGCTGCCACAGAAAATTGCAAAAACTGCCTCCGATGAGGTCCTACTCGATTCTTGTTTTGTGTAATTTTTTCACTATTGTGATCATAGTTTCTTTCTTTACAGGTTGACTGGAGCAAAACACCCAATTATAAAGTAAGTCGGTGGAGCCGTCGCACCAGAGATCCCCGCCACCGGTGAGTTTCGATTTTTCATTTTTTTCTCACTAACCGAGGCCCCTTAACGTGTTTTCTCATAGAAATTGATACAAAATCGGATAAAAACAGCAGATCCAAGGCGGACTGCTGCCGGAGCACGGCGGAGCTGTTGTGCCGAAATTTCAGAATTGGTCAAAAACTGGTTTTGAGACTGATTTTTTGTTTTTGGGACATTTGTAGGTACTTATAATGCATTTTAATTTCTAAATAAAAATTCAGGAACCTGGAGACCGCAAGTAGGCGCAGTCACAACTTA